AAAAAAAAAAAAATAGGATGAGAATTCCATTAATGAATACAAGTACAGAGGTCAGAAATGCATTCAACATGCTTTAGTGGTTTACAACCATCATCCACTACCAAGAGGTCCAGAAAGATCACTTGCATGTACATTTTTTCTTACGACATACTGCATGTTCTTCTGGTGTTCTGCACCAAGTAACATAGTCAGCACAGTCAGCACTTTTCACACATGGAGCTCCATACGGTGCTTTTGACTTTAGATATTCTGCGTGAAATTAAAAAATCATATGCTCTTTTTATGTTATTTTGTGAATGAAAAAAGTTTTCCCACACAAATTGACGTCTGGATCGGTTTTTCCTTCTTCAATTGTTTTTGGGTGATTGCTTGTCTATTTATATGGGGGGTTTTGGGGTCTCATTTCCATGTTGTGAATGTAAGGAAATAACATATCTTTCGTATTTTTCAACTAATTAATTACGTAAATATTAGGCAAACCAGAAGTGGTCTCCGTTTTAAATTGGTAACTTAATTATTTTAACACTATCCAAAATATTAATGGCTTTGACTGTTCCAACACATGTTTGCCCCCTTTTTGTTTAATTATGGTTGTGCTATCGAGATACTTTAGAGCATCCACGTTGGTAATAAAATGTGTGTGTCTTTAAATATAAAATTATTAAAATTTGAGTAAAAGGAAGAAAGATAATGTTTTTTGTTGAAATAGTGTGGTGTATTGAAATATAAAATTAATAAAATTTGAGTAAAAAGAAGAGATAGTGGGTATTTTTGGAGAGATTGTGTCTTGGGAAAAACATAAGAGAGAGAGAATTAAGATGTGTTTAAATATAAAATTAATAAAAGTTGAGTAAAAGAATGAAAGATAAGGTATAAAGTTGAGTAAAAGGATGAATAAGAAGGTATAAAGTTGAGTAAAAGGAAGAAAGAGTGTGTTTTTAATATTTTTATATTGTGAGACATTGGTAAAATGTCTCCAATGTGGATGGCCTTATGGATATCTCACCAATATAAAATTAATATTTTGACTATATTTTAAGTTAAAGATTCACAACTAAAAACTACTTCCATTGGTTATATATCCATTGAATATTTAATCTCTAAAATAA